ATATATATATATATATATATATATATATATATATATATATATATATATATATATATATATGGAGAGGTTTAAATGAGAAACCTCAAATATATGAAAAAGGGAGAAATCATTCTAGCCATTAGATTAAAAGACAAAATTTATTAAATGAAGGGTAATATGGTAATATGATAATTAAACTTCGCCACCGGCATTCTATTTTTGACATCCCAATGCCTGTGCAACTATGAAGTCCATCGTCACCGTCGCTATCTCTGAATCCTTACTTCTCCCTCTCTTCCAATTTGTTGCCTCCGGGATTTGCACCGCCTCTGCCCTTCTCTTCCTCAATGCCACATGGCTCATGTCCTTCCTCAACCGTTTCATCTCTCTTTCAGTAGTCCGCGACGTACAACTCTTTCAATGCCTCTCATTAACCTGCACCGCCATTAAATATGTTCAAGATTTTGTTGGAAACTAATCTCATAAGATCTGAATCTCTTTTTTATTCATCAAAAAATTGGCATTCCGAATATTTGGTTTTTTATTCACAAACACACGTTATTTTGGTTATAACAAAAGCATGTAATAGTTTAGAAGAGCGAAAAAATTTAAGCAAAATTTATATCTATAAAGAATAAAAATTGAGAAATAAATTAAAAAATGTGGACCACGGGGCCATGAGGTCCCCGCCATTAAACTTTTTTTTTTACTTTTAGAACCGAATTCCCATTTTAATCAGAGTTTTATACAGATGCTTTACGCATTTACGTGACCTTACTTTTAGATTTAAAAGAATAAACACCAGAAGGAACTTGAAACAAAAATTCGTAGAGATTGAAAATCCATTAAGTTACCTCTAAGTGTGCCAATGGATGCCTTTCTAAGCACGTGGCTAATAAAACGATGGTAACGGTGTAACAAATGATTAATCGTAGTTATTGATATAATATTTTACTTTCTTGGCCCGAGTCTTATTGGAAAGACCCTTTCTAACAACATAGAAGGCAATTCCAGTTTTCGGGTAAAGATTAATCCTTCATGAGCCATGACAAAAGAACATGAATCACTGGGCTGGAGGGTACATTTAAAAAGATGTTAGAAATGAATGAAAAATCGTCGAATCAATCATAAGCAACTGTGCGGAGACAAGAATTAACATGAGGCCATAACGAAGAATTCAAAGAACACTTGGAGCCTCAAAAAGACGATGCATAAGAAGTTAAACATCTTGAAGGGATACCATTGAAGACGATTTAGAGATATGAGGTTTGGAGTTGCATGTCAAAGACACCGATGCACATCTTGGTTAGATCTAGGGGTATCTAACGGATTTTGATGAAACCAATCCAATCATACTTGGATGTTGAATTTGATAGCTGATGTAATCCAAGTAACTTTGGATGATCAATCCAATCCAACTGAATGGATCATTATTATCAATTAGATATAATTATTGGTTAATATCAAATTTGATTTAATTTATTCAGTATTTTTAACAAGTTATACAACCATTTCTTACTAGACATGAGAATTTAACTTATGGTTGAACTTTATATGCCCGAAGCAGGTTTCGAGATAGTACTAACCGACCCGATATATATATATATATATATATATATATATATATATATTACATTGTTTTCTACTAAACATGTACCTGGTGGCTGGTGGAGATTCCTTCCTCCTAAACCCGAGATAGATTAGATCGGGAGGGGGCATAAACATAGATCAAAATTAGGAATGCACGAGGGAGGCAATTCTAGCCTATTTTCTGGCTGATTTCCATCCCTTATTTCAACCAATAATCCATATATATCTGGTTTAAAAACTTAGCCTTGCATATTAGTTGAAATTTTTAGGAATTTCTTTGGAAAGTCAGAAGAGCTCATGTTGCGGAAGACGAAAATTGCCAGGGTTGATAGAACCGAAAATGGAGACAAGTTTGAAGAAACTTGAGGCCGATTGAAACAGTGCCAACTAGACGAGAGGGATTAAGTTGTCAATACCACGATACAAAAAGAAAATGATTTGATGTAAATTTATTATCGGGTGGTAGTAAATTTATTCAATTTGAATTCACAATATCTCATACGACAAAATTGTATGAGAATACAACATAAATGTTCTTAATTTATGCAACATACTTTCAAAATTTAGATTCCCATTTTATGCAACATACGTTCCAAATCAGATTTAATATCTAAAATATTTAGAACAAAGTCGTTATATGAAATGGAAATCTGACCAGAAGACGTTGCGTTCCATACATTCTCATATATAAATTATGTATCTAAATGTTAAATATCACATCAAAAATACAAAAATAAAGTAATGACTATATATCTATACTATATTATAAAGCATTTGACAGAAATTCTTAAAAATCGTCTTTTATACATATATACTACTTATTGATATATATTACTTAAGAATTCAATATTACAAGTAAATTGTGTATAAGTACAACTTATTAAGCTTCATATTAGAATTCGTGTAGATAAATATAATCAAATACACGATAAAATTCTGATTTTAAATATATCTAAAATATAATTAGGATAACTATTGAGTTCTAACATAATTTTAATTATTATATTATTAAATCAAAAATTAAATTAATTCGTCTTTAAACCTAAATTAAATTATAATAAAAAAATTAAATTAACGAAATTACATAAAATAAGAACTTTTAAATTTTTTATTGATATTTTCAAATTTATATTTTATTAAAAAAAATATTATTGTTTATTCAAAATCATATAAATTCGTATTATAAAATTAAAAGAAATCAAAAAAATAAAATAAAATATTAAAATCAAAATAAATCTCAATTAATTTGCCTCGTCGTATAAAATAACCGGTATATGATCTATTTATAAAACGGTAATCTTCACAAAACTGTTCATCGCTACCAATTATCAAGTCGTGGGGAGAGAGAGAGAGAGACTAGAGAGGGGGAGAGAGAGATGTTTCTACGGAGGTTTGCTCGGCCATCGTCATTGATGATGATGGCCAAGGTGAAGGAAACAACCGGGATCGTTGGTCTCGAGGTTGTTCCTAATGCAAGGGAAGTGCTGATTGGTCTTTACAACAAAACCCTAAACGAGATCCAGCGTGTACCCGAGGACGAGGGCTACCGTAAGGCCGTTGAGACCTTCACCCGCCACCGATTGAAGGTGTGCGAAGAGGAAGAAGATTGGGAAACCATTGAGAAGCGACTTGGTTGTGGTCAAGTTGAAGAACTCATCGAAGAGGCTCAGGATGAGCTCAAACTCATCGACAAAATGATTGGTACGTATTTCTTCTATCTCTTACGTAAATCTGTCACTTTTTCATTACATAAACGCATATAGAGATTTGTCTCTTGCGATCGATTGACAAGGAATATTGGGCATTGAAAGAGATGAATGGGGGCTGTTTGTATGATTGCTCTAAAACTTATAGACTCAACAAGTGGAGAAACTTCCACTCCCCAGTTCAGCTCATGAATTGGGAAATGATTGATCTACGTGGGTGCTTATTTGAGTACATAGATTTCGTAGGTCATAAGAATTTAGTTAGTGTTTGGTATCTAAATTTTTTTCAATTTGGAACTGGAATCGAGGACAATTTGTTCAAAATTTTAACCGGTCTTGCTTCAATGTTAGTTCTTAGCCACAAAATCAGCTTTAGCTTTCCTGCCACTGGAGTCTGGAACATTTTTCAAGCCATTGTCAATACAAATGTTTCATGCACTCGTTATGAGGGAGAAACTATGACAGATCGAAGATCTCTTTGGTTTAATAACGTTACTATGATCTTTGTTAGGCATTCAGGCAATTGTCATAATGTTGTTATTTATGGTAATCGTGATCCTGCTAGCTGTTTATGCACTCCATTGAACTATACTTTCTTACAGCCATAATGAACATGCTATATTATCAATTACAATATAAGCCAGGGCTTCTTTTTTCTCTTTATGAACTTTGTTTGGTTTTCCCATTTTATCAACAAGGATTGGTGTTGATAACCAGTTGAATGGCTTTACAATTGTAAATTTGGGTCCTCTTTCACACCTTGCTTCCAATTGTGTAGTATCCATCTGTATCATTGTTTGGTGGGCAAGTAGACTATTTTATGGCCCTATCGATTTAAGAGTTGTTGTAATCTTGGCGTAAAAGATTTATATACTTTTGGACTGTAACTCCTCTCAGGCAATTAGTGGATTTCATTATGCACAGGTTGATACAATACACATAGCGCCTACTATTTTTTTTTTCCTATTTGCTCCCCTAGCTTCTGTCTCTCAGTGTCTGTGTCAGCTCAATAGAGTGACTTCACCGTTGGTGTTCTTTCTGATTTTTATGCATTTCATCACTCCAGTGGAAATTCTCTCTGCTCCTGTTCCCGAATACTGTTTTTGAGTTTCTTGACCCTTTGCCTTGGCATCGATTGGATCTATTCATTGATGAGGGTAGGGAAAGGATATAATTCCGTGGTATAATGTCACCTTGATGTGGTGGAAGACATCCATTTAATCTTGCACTATCAATGAGGATATACAAATTCTAGTTTTCTTGCTTTTTATGTCTCCTTATACAATTTCATGTCTGTCTTTTAAATATTTTATACGCTTTAGCGTAACTCTATTGATGATCTTGATGGTGAAGTCTACTACTTCTGGAGTTTAGGGTAAATCTTAAACATTGGTATTGTTATTTTGTTCTAACATCATATTGACCTTGAAATTTTTAAAACTGGTAGTGTCAAGCTACGATTAAATTACTTATTGTTTAGATTTGAGAAAACAATGAGCCATTGATGAAGATTGATTATAAACTTGATACTATAGTTTTGAGATTGTTCTCTCTTTTCGTATAGATTGAGTCAGAGTTTACACTTACAAAATGAATTTTTTTTTTTTTTAATCTATCTAAGAATAACATAAAAGACCCTGAACTATACATATATTCTAACACGTCCTCAAACTCAAGATGGCTATGAGAGACCAATTTGAGTCTCTAAAAAAGATTTGTAAAACATCTAGGGTGATAAGCTTTAGTAAACACATCGACAAGTTGATCAGTAGAAGATATAAGAAGAAGACAAATTTATTGCGAACGGATGACATGCTGACATACAAAATGACAATCAAGCTGAATGTGTTAGGGGAATTCATGAAAGACATCATTGTGATCAATCTGAATAGCATTGTGATTGTCACACTAGGGACAAAATCATAGTGTTGAACTTCTCAAACCAGCCCTAAGAAGCCTGTTTGAGACCCTATTTAGCTCTCTGCATACACCCAACATATTCAACTGGATGAGAAACACTTGGAGTAGGCTTCATATAGGCCTCTTCAGATATATCACCTTTGAGAAGGACATTCATGACATTAATATGAAATAATTGTCATTTGCGAGCAGCAACAATGGCAGGCTGCCAACAAAAATTTGATCCAGGTAACAGGCACTAACATCTCCTTATAATACCTTTTTGGTTAAATCCTTTGGCTACAAGATGAACTTTGTATAGATCAACTGGCCCATTAGACTTGGTCTTGACTTTATTGGAACTAATAATAGGTTTTCCCACCACATGAGGAACAAGGTCCCAAGTTTAGGCTTTGTTAAGAGCTTGAATCTCCTCATACATTGTTTGTTGCCCTATAGAGTTTGAACATGCTCATGTATAGGAAGATGGATCATGTTGTGATAATAAGGCGGAGTATTAGAACGACGTTGATCAGGGGTTGAGAAGTGCTATGAACCTCAGTGCCAACAGATGTTTTAGGAGAGTTCGTACGAGGAGAAGCGGATGTCAAGTATTATACATTAGGGTTAAGAGAAGGCGAATTTTTTAGGGTCAAAGAGGGTAGTTTTAAATGAGAGTGAGGTAGTTGCAGGAGGGGCAAGTGGAGATAAGTGTCAACTGGATAGAAGCATCTGTGCAGAAGGGAGCGAGAGAATGAGATTCAACCTGAACCTTGAGAAAGGAACATTTTTTGTTTCCAAAAGATGATATGATGCGAGATGCAGAGACTTTTGGAGATGGGATCCCAACAATAATACCCATGTGTTCAATTCTATATCACAGGAATTAACAAAGATGAGAACGTTGTTTGAATTTAGAATGTTCATGTGGTTGTAATATGGACGAAGCATGCACAACCCCATACTTTGAGTAATCTGGTTCTTCTTTCGTTTTTGCTCACACTTCGACTAGTGCCTTCACAAAAATAGTTGCTCTATCCTATGTGGTAGAGGACAAGTCTGCGTACTGTCCACCCCATACCCTGCTTTGAGTGGATATATTGGGTTTATTTGGTTTGATTTATGTTTTTGAGAGCAGGGTTGGGTGAGAGAGTGCAAACTGTCAAGGATGTGCCTTTGTTCTCACTCGGCACAACCATTTTGTTGAGAGGTGTGAAAATAACAATATTGAGGCACAATGCCCTCCATGAAATTATCTGCACAATGTACCTTGACTATCTAATTTAAACCCATTTAATTGGAAAGGTATTGCATGTTGTTTCGCCATTTAACAAGATAAGCAAGAAATAAAATTGATTTGATAAATCTACCTGATGAAATAAGTTTTAAGCCTATCTGATATGTAACCTAAACAAGCATGCCCAACATCCATAGAACAGACACTAGATACTGGTGCAACTAACGGTGATGAGGACGGAAATGTAAGGCTGGCAGACCAAGATAGAGTAGCTTGAACATCTGACCTACTTTACAACCTATCCCAATAGTTCTTGTGTGGTCTTTGGATCCTGTATAACTCATCCACAAGAAGAAAGTGTAACAAAAATACTTGTATTACACAATTAACTGATAGAAGTAAGACCACGGGAAAGTGTAGGTATGTGAACTGTATCAGGAAAAGAGAGCTGAAACTTGAGTACATGACCACCAAACTGGACCGGTAGACGCCTACTATCAGCACTGGAAACTGAAGAAAGGTGCTTGGGAGGTTTTAATTTTTTGGTGTTTGTTAGTAGCTTAATGAGCTTAATGGGACACAACTTATTCGGTCAGCTAGCTATACATGACTCTTTGGCAGTGGCTTAATGATATAAAAAATGGCTTATTCAGTAAGCCTTTAGGGGAGAGCTTTATGCAGAAAGCCAAGTTTTTCCCACACATGTCCCTCTCAATTAAAAAACACTCTCTTTCCATCTATGAAGAAACCTCATAACCTTCTCAATTGATACAAGACAGATTAATCCATACAAACAACTTTATTCAGACACAACTTAATAGAGACCAACCAAACAGTCCCTTCAGCTCATATACCATGTTAGATTTGAGAAAATGATTGATATAGATTGAATCAAAGTGTTCCAACATGAAATAGAAAGAAGGTATTGACATGCTTTTTTGTTTATGAAATCGCAGAGTGGGACCCGTGGGGTGTACCGGATGACTACGAATGCGAAGTAGTGGAAAACGATGCACCAGTTCCAAAGCATGTGCCCCTACACCGGCCTGGTCCTCTTCCTGAGGAATTTTACAAGACGCTGGAGGCTATCATGAATGGAACCAAGAAGGACGAGTCTGCTGCTGCCGCTGCTGCTGCCGCCGCCCCACCCTCCACTTCTTCTTAATGATTTGGGCTCTGTTTCATCATCAGAAAGCTCAAAACTTTTGTTTTTGTTATGTCTTGATAATGTTTTTGTGATTGTAAGACCAAGTGGTTGCCAACACATTTGAGATTTAATTTAGGAGTTCAATAAGCTCAAATCCACCAGCTGCTTTTAGAATTTAGGTGTAGTTGTGCCCATTTGTCTTTCCTCCAACCAATGGATACAATTTGCTGCTTCCATTCACTCTTATTAAACAAGTTTGATCGATTTGTTGTACTTATAACCAAACTGTTGTATTTATATTAATTTTGTTTTCAATTATAACTTGTCAAATCGATATAAATTGTAGGATGATTTCGACCATCAAATTCACGCGAAAACCCTCGAACATATGAAAACCGCAGGTGGCATCACTGATGATAAGATTTGGGCATTTGGATATCCTCTTCGGATGTCACTGTTTCGAGTCTTAAAATACCACTAAATGTGCGTTTAGTTTGCAGGAATGTTTTTGAGGGATTTGGATTCGGGATTTGGATTCCATGGGATTTGGATTGAATTGGATTTAAAATCCATCATGTGTTTGGTTTGCAGGATTTGGATTAGATTTGAAATCCATTCCTCTGTTAGGTTTGTAGGATTTGGATTGAGATTTTTTTTTGTAATTATTTTAATCACCAAATTTCTTTCATTTTCTTAAATCTATTTATTTAACCAACAAACCTAAAAAATTAACAATCAAACCTTTTCATCCAAAATGTATATTTAATCAATAAACATTTTCATTCAAAATGCATATTTAATCAACAAACATTTTCATCCAAAATACGTATTTAATCAACAAACATTTTCATCCAAAACACATATTTAACCACCAAGCTCGGTAATCCAAAATACAAATTTAACTACCAACTTGTTTTTTCAAAAGCACACATTTACCCACCAAAATTTACCCACATTTAACTATCAACTTGTTCTTTCAAAACCACACATTTACCCATCAAAATTTTCATCCATTTAAAACCCAATCGACATAAGCTTCCCTATCCGCTTCTTGGAAATCCAAAAACATGTTCACCTTTTCACGATCGTCTCTTATCAATGAAATTGCTTTAAACTTATCCCGTTGGGCCAACGTCTGCATTTTTAATATCTCAGGAGTGACCATCGAACGTTTCTTATCAAGTTCGTCTTCTCATTCTACACCCCTGCTAAGTTTGTTCGCCATTTTCTCCAAAGTTTCTCCAAGTTTAGTAACCGTCTCCTTTGCCTATGTAAACGTCTTGTTAAACTATGTCGATCCATTTCCTGTTCAATTTCCCAAATTGTTAAACATATATTCTTTGTTGGGTATTGCCATTTACAACCACTAAATCTAGATATGAAATAGTGAAGAGGTAGAAATGCAAAAAAAGTGTTGCTTTCATACATTAATTAATTGATGCTAAATCAATAAAAAAGCATCAAACTTCATAAATAAGCATCATAAATAAGCACACCAAGAAACATATGCCAATCTTTTTTTAACTAACATGCACATGACATAGCAGACATAAAAGAAAGTTTGATGGAGATTAAGAAAAATGATTATTGAGGACAACAGTAGTATTGGGTCTCCTTACTCAAAAGAGCTAGCAATGAAAATAAGATCTTCATTGAAGGGTGAAACTAGGCTTATTCCGATCATATCAGTTTGCCATTGCTTATTCCGATCATATCAATTTGCCTTTGCTTTTTGAAACTTGTATTACACACCTTAGGATGAAATCATTCTATCGAGAATCGGGGCTGTTATGCTAAGTTGTTCATGCATTACATAAAAGCAAGTGTCTATGGTCTGTACAGGATTCCTCAATTGACAATTATCGAGAAGTCCAGAATCTTCGAAGGCAACTACAGCAAGCTATTGATGAAAAAAAATGAATTCGAGGTCTGTACAGGCTTATTCCGATCATACCACCGTTGTAGATTCATAGGAATGAAAGAAAATCTTGAATATGTTTAGAAATGCACATACTGGTAAGCAGAAGCAAAATAGTGATTGTACAAAAACATTCACCGATTATTAATTTCACACATGTCATGTACATTCAACCTAATCTGTCAAAATTGAAAGATTTAACCTAATCTGTGTTCATAGTTTAGACAAAAATCGAAAAGGGGAAAATGGGAAAAGGGATTTACCTGTTGAGTGATGGGAGAAGGCGGTTTATCAGCGAGGACCACAGTGGGAGACGGCGACGGAGACGGTGGGCGACGGAGACGGTGGGCGACGGAGACGGTGGGCGACGAAGACGATGAGCGACGACCATCGACGGAGGCGGAGACGGAGACGAAGGGCGACGGCGACGGTGAGCAATGGAGGAGCGATGTAAGCTGTGGGAGAAGATGGAGATGAGTTAGGGCAAGAATGAAATCCCACGGGAATGGATTTTAAAAACCCGTGTATTTTCAAAGGATTCTTAAATCCATAGTTCACGGGATTTTAAATGAATCCCAGGATTTTAAATGAATCCCAGGATTTTAAATCCTACCATTCCTACAAACCAAACACAGGATTGGAATGGATTTTAAATCCAAATCCCTCCAATTCCATTCCATTCCTGCAAACCAAACGCACCCTAAGGATTTTTCTAGCGTAAGTTGGTCTGGATACTTATTGACCAAAAAAAGTAGGACATCAATAACCCCTGATCACGGTGAAGGAAATACAAATATAATGTGATAGTGAAACGAGTACAAGTGAATAGTAAAAAGCCCTTTTAAAAGCCGAGTAGATGATAGATCCATTCTGTTGTTGGTTAGAATGTCTCCTGTCCCGTTTCAACAGTTAGTTTAACCCTTTTATAGTGCTTCCAAATCTAGCCATTTTTTCTCCGATCCCTTGATCCAGGGAGGATTTTATCGGTATTATAACTACGTTACCATTCATTCGAGCTATTATTTAACCGAGTTTAATTTGGACAAATTCAACAGTCACGTGTTGGATATGATGTCGCTTGGCAATGATGTCCGGTCATATTATGATATTCTTGTAAGGTGATGAGTCGAGGAGTTGTTAGTACTAATGGAACGTGAGTATATGCGTTGTGTTGCGTAGGGTTGGAGAAATTTGACCCTAACATACACTTTCAAGGTGAAAATTTGGGAGTTACATAAATACATTTATGATTGTTGTTAAAATAACAACAATATGTTAAAAGAAGTATATAGAACTTACGATTAAAGAACCCTGAGGAGAAACCATATGATAGAGACAAAGAATTCTCAAAATTAAACCAAAAGAGCGGTACCCAATTGGTTTGAGCTTGAACCCTATAGGTCAAAATTGTATGGAGATCCCAGATTCGAATCCAAGAAACAATTAAAATCTTCTTGTGACAATGGATGTTCAAATGTGATGACTTCAGAATACCAGTAAAACGGATGATCTCCCTGGGACTAGTCTGCTCGCATAACAGCTAGAATATTCGGGGTTAATAAAAAAAATTCTCAAAATTATGAATTAAAGAATCAAAAGTTGAAACAAAAAATATAGAAAACATATGTTTGACAAAATCGTACTTGGGCCTAGAGGTGGCCAAAAATCGGTCATGGGCTGGGTCTTAACCGGTTATGGCCGGTCCCGATCAAGACAAAAACCATTCATAACCGGTTCCGGTTCCGGTGAAATCCCTCATAACCGGTCAAGCTTACCGGTAACCGGTTAAGCCGTCCGGTCCCGGTTCCGGTCCCATAACCGGTTACGGCCGGTCCTTTGCAAAAAAAAAATATTTGTTTTTATTTTTTTTTTCAAATTTTTGGTAATTAATAAATTTATAATATGTTATTTTTAATATGTTTTATTATAAATACGTTTTATTATAAATATGTTTTAAAATACGTTTTGTTATATATATATACGTTTAATTTTATAAATACTTTTTGTTATATACATTTAATTTTATAAATACGTTTTATTATAAATTCGTTTAATTTTATAAATACGTTTTGTTATATATATATATATATATATATATATATATATATATATAGCTTAGCCGGTTCCTTTGACTTTTAACGGCTAGTTTGACCAGTTTGACTTTTGTTGACTTTTGTTGATCGGGTCGGGCCGAGCCCATAACCGGTTCCGGTCCTAGAAAACGCCAAAATCACCAACCGGTTCATAACTGCCGGTCCACAACCGGTTACTACCGGTCCCGGTCGGTTCTGGTCCCTCGCCGGTTCCAGTTACGGGCCTCCGTCGGTTACGAGTCGGGTCGGGCCCATTTGGCCATCTCTACTTGGGCCCTCCAAAAAATTGATCCGGTACCCTCCAAATTTCAAGAACATTGAGCCCCAGTCCATGAGTTTCATACTACTTACTTCAGCCACAAATGTTCCTTACTTCACACTTTATCCCCGATTGAACAAAACCATTACATTTTGAACTACACTAACAATAATATATAAAAACTACAAGGGTGGTGCCTGATTGGTTTGAGCTTGGCTCCAAAGGTCAAATGTACCTGGAGGTCCCAGGTTCAAATCCAAGTAGAAATAAAAATCTTCTTGTGGCCACGGAGGTTCAAATGCGGTGACTCCGGGCTATCTGCAAAGCAGATGGTCGTCATGAGATTAGTCGACTCGCATAACAGGTTGGATATCTAGGTTAATAAAAAAATACCAATATAAATAAGATCTTTTAAATCTTCAAAAAATAGTTCTTTTAATGTCAAGATTGAAACTCTTATATGTATTTTAACAATTGTAAATACACTTATGATGTAACTATCATATATCAAGGGTGGAACATGCAATTATGCGTGTTTATCGTGATTTTGGTGATTATGTTCAAACAAGTCTATAAAAAGTTGTTGATATAAATGACGTTTATAAATTATAATACGTGATCTAGTTTATTAATTATCGTCCACAAACCAACAAATGGTATAACAAATGGTATGAGTGATATATACGACTTTCACTTTATACCATCCGAATCAAGCAACAAAAAGAGAACTCAAATGATTCGAACAGAAAATAAGGGTCCGTTTGGTTTGCAAGATTGTTTTAAAGAGATTTGGAGGAGGGATTTAGATTGGAATTGATTTGAAATCATTGATGTGTTTGGTTTGTAGGATTTGGAATGAAATTGGATTCCGTTGTTTATAAACTAGAAGGGTACTCGCACATTGCAGCGAGATACATCTCGATTTTAATGTTTTTTTTTTGTCTCAGTCAATGTTATAATACGATTTTATGTGAGTTTGAGAAAACGTAATGTTTTATTTTTGAA